CGTGGGGGCGGGGGCGCTCAGGGGGCGGGGACGCGCGGGAGGGCGGGGGCGCGCGCGGAGGGAGCCGGCGGCCCCTCGGCGTCCGAGCCACCCAGGAAGCGCCCTTTCCCGTTCCCCCGGGTTGGTCGGGCTCCTCCCTCCCGCGCTCCGCTCCTCCCGCTCCAGGCGCAGCCCGGCGTCCCGGGCCGGCTCCTGGCCGCGCCCCCTTCCAGGACCCAGCGCGGTCCCGGGACGGACGCCCGCGCCGCTCTGAGGCTCAGCCCCTCCGCGGCCTGCACCCTGTGCCGCCTGCGGCCCCGCGCCCCGTGGACACGTCTGATGTGTCGGGACGGCTAGGGGACCTGTCCTGGCTGTTCACCCCGTTACCCGTTGGGTACCACGCTTACAGCGTGGGTGATCAGGTCTTCTTGACTTTACAAGCCCCGAGCCTTAATTTAAACACGGTTTTGCAGCCTAAAGCTGATGACTGCCTACAGGAGGTGCCGAGCGCAGCCAGTTCGTTTGTAAACTGCAGAGTGGAACTGCCCCGTGACAGCGTGGCTGGCACTGACCGGCGAGGCACGCGCGTGGGGCTGGACCGACTGGTCACTTGCTGAATGCTCGTTAACTCTGCCCGAAGATGCTAAAATACATGAAGGAAACGTTTCATTGTTGTTTTATTTCATTGTTAGATTCGCTCAGATCAGAAATTAACGCATGTATTAAAAGGAATATGTTTAATCCTTCAAGAAGTTAGGAAAAGAAATAGAGAAGGAAGGAAGAAAGAAATCTTTCCTAAGATCTATACTATCTTAGAGTACATAGGCCAAGTAGGGCTACCATTTTTTTTAAGATTGCTCAATTGAACGCCTGTTGGTAGGAATGTCTTAAGTTTTGACAGGGTAATGACCGGCCCTTAATGGGGCGTGTACTTCAGCACTCACTCACAATCTTTCTGGCCAGTGTTCTTGGAGCTTAAGAACATTGCACCGCTTGCTCTTCTGGTCAGAAACTTCACTTTTGGTGGGGCCCACAGTCCAAGGTGGGGCGGCGGGGGGGTGGGGGCTTCCCAGGTGAGACTAGTGGTAAAGAACCCACCTGCCAGTGCAGGAGATGCAAGAGACATGGGTTCCATCCCTGGGTCAGGAAGATCTCCCTGGAGGGGGCATGGCAACCCACTCCAATGTTCTTGCCAGGAGAATCTCATGGACAGAGGATCCTGGTGGGCTACAGTCCATGGGGTCGCAAAGAGTTGGACACGACTGAAGTGATGTAACATGCATGCCAGTTCAAGGAAGCAAAAAAAGGAAGATGCAAGGAAAGGAATGAAAAGTAGGGAATGTAGGAAAATAGAGCAAGTTCTCCACAAAACACTATTACCATCTCAAGCACGGTCGTGTATTGCTTAATACTTTTAAGTTACATAGAAAAATCATGGTGCTTGTAAATACTTGTAATTGATGGTCAAAAGAAACACACATTCTTGCCTCAAAACCACCTGGATCTAAGACAGTGTATGAAGACAAGCTGTTGTTTCCCTGAAGCTCTGAGGTTAAGACGGAAGAAAAAATGGGAGAGCTGGGAGGAGGGGTGGTAGGTGAGAGTGACATCTGAGCAGAGGGGCAGGGAGGTGAGCTAAGAGCCCAGTAGACCTTGCAAGGAGTCCGCTGTCAGGGTGGAAAGACCAGAGGCAATATCTCATTTCTCTCGGGCTGTGGTTTTCCTTTCTTGCCTCCCTTATTACCGTTGTTCCCTGTGAGCAGGGAGAGAACTAACTGGAAGTTTCTTGAGTGATGACTGAGCGCACGCCTCAATTGCCTACAGCTGTGCTCAGTTCTGGGGCGGCGTGGGGATGCACCTGGCGGAGTGCTCGAGCCGTGGAGCACTGCCCCAGCAAGGCAGGTGGGGGCGCGGGCCACACGTGGCCCTGAAACCCAGCCAGGCCCTGCGGGGCTCCTGGGCACTTACGCCCTTCTGTGTCCCCGTTTCTTGGTTAAAGGAAAGAGTCTTCATTCAGCCCGAATGACCTTCCCTGAGTTCCAAAAGGTAAGTTCAAATAAATAAATGCTGACTAGGGAAGGAAGGGGATGTGGAAACAAGGGAGGAACCATGGAGAAACAGATCAGCTGTGGGGCAGGGTCTCTGTCCCCCCCACCCCCAAGGTTACCCAGAGCACTATCTGAGCTGGTCTGAAGGTGCAGAAACCCCCAGCAGGCGGGCGGACTTAACGGTATGCTGCCTGCAGGCACTTAGATCCCAGACCGGTCAGAACCAGAAGGTTGATGGTATTGCTAGCCCAAATCTTGGCTTTCTCTGCCCACTGAAGCTGAATAAAAACATACGGAGACAAAGTTTGGAGGAAATAGAAAGCCGGCTGCAATCCTCAGCCGGCAGAGAGGGGAACCCCGTAGGCTCGTGGCTCAAGAACAATGCTCCACATGAGGAGTCCAGGGGCTTCCATGAGAAGAGGGCTCGCAGTAGTTGGTGAGCAGGAGGAAAGGTGTTTGGCTCTTGATGTCTTCCTGTCACATTGTTTCAAAGACAGTCACTGGCTGGCATCAGTAACCCAATAATTGAGTCTGGCAGTTCTGTGGCTCTGTGGCCTTCTTTCTGATGTGTAACTACGAGGGGAAGGTGTTGTAAGGGTAAACACTAGGAATGCAGAAAAGTAAACTTAGATACAGACATGCAGTTAGGAGCAGTTAAAGTAAAAAAACCAAAAACAAAAAAAAACTAGGAATGTTCAGGCCTGTTCTCGTTATCTTCTTTGTTCTCAGGATTGAGAAAGAAGAAAACTCATTCCTTTTTTTACTCTGTCACTGCAACAACGGTTCCGACTCCTGGTTACCCCAGCACCCGTCCATCAGAAGGATGTTCACGGGCTGATCACGTCCTCTGTGAAGCGTTACTATAAAGCTCCCCACTGCCCCTTCCAGGTCTTACACCAGTTCTGAGGGCATGAGGCCACTGTGGCACCCTCTGCCTGGCAAAGCAATA